CAACTGGCTACCGCAACGAGATGAAAGTTTGCAGACCATTACTTAAGTCCAGTTAAAGAATGCAGCATTTTGCGTGTACAAGTAATGCTATTAAAGCCCTTGTTCGAAAAGATGGAGACACTGGGTACTAGACAGTCATTCATTATAGCATCAAGGTATCAATCTTAATACGAAGTTTTTGTAAAACTAGTTGAAGAAGTGTACATTCGTGGTTGTAGCAACATATAAGGATTGTTTTTCACGACGGAAAGCATAATAGCCAAGCGATGGTTTAGGTTTTTATTTTTTAAACGGATTTTAAACTCGGAAAATTGAGGTCTCTCTTCATGAAAGATCGAGATTGCACTGTCGTAATGGTAATGATAGGAGTATCTTCTAAAGGAGGGGATCCTGGGCTCAAATTGGTTTGCAAATGTTTGTTAATGTAACTAGACATTTTTCATTTATTGCTGATGTTGTTTTGTAAGGATTCAGCAAGTGCACGACCGCCACGGAATCCACGGTAAGATTCGCAGTGATCTTGTGTTTGAAGATGGTAAACCGTCGGTGGCTAGGTGAAAAATATTTCTGAGTTTCGGCGGGGCGAGAACATGAATGCGAATTATGTTAGTTTAATGTAAAAGACAGAATAAATCCTGCAAGAGGCTATGTTAAAGGTCATTAAAACTGAAGGAAGCATCACAGTGAGGTCATGTAGAGCTTGTTGGGTCGGATATGTTTCGTTCTGTCTGATCTTTATTTTCAACTATGATTATTGCCAGAATTTTCCACTTTCTACGGAGTTAGTTATTTTCAGACTTTGTTTGAGCTCCATTGGATGACGTGGTCCTTGACTACATCCTACTGTGAGTCAACTTTTTCCATCTGTTCTGCTGAGCAGATCAAATGTTCCTGCCTCCTGTTTTTAAACTTCTTTTAGGTCTCACCTGTGCAGCTGTCTCCACAGATTCAGTAGATAAATCTCTCGGATTCAGTGCCAGGTGTCTCTTATTTTGATTTAATCCTCCGCTGGTACAGTACGTCCTCATTCTGAGCTCATATGCGAAACTGCATGCCGTCTTAATGCCATAACAACATATCATTTTCTTTGGACTGAGGATCTTCTACGAAGAAATTGACTTTCAAAGCACTCTTTTGAGTATGCTTCCGCATGCACGTTGCCATGGTTCGGTTTTCAGTAGAGTTTGCTTAACTGATTCTGAAAGAATTTAGAGTAGTTGTGTTTTAATTCATAGTCGATTTTGTTGGCCTACATCTGTAGTGGGGGAAGGAGAGATATTCGAGCATATTTTTTCGGATGGACCCAGTCTGCATAAGTGCCACTTTGGTGGATGCCAGGTATGGAGTAAAATTTATCATCTCTGTTGGTAGGATGCATAAGTGGTAATTCAAATGGCCACTTTACACATACTGACGTCGTAGTTTGTAGGAAACGGACACACTGATAACCGTCTTATACAAATAACTTGAGCACTCACAAAAGTCGAATTTTTCTGATGCTGCAGTAAATACTGGATGCCAGATCGATTTTTCGTTGTTAATGGCTCATCATTCGTTTTTCATATTTATTCATAAACGTCGTCTCGTCACAGATTAGATTGCATAAGATAATTTAACAATGTGAGCGGTATACCTCACTGTTTTCATTTATGCTTTTATTTTTTAGACACATTAGATTAGGAGACTTCGTCTGCCACTGTCCCAGTAGCCAACCGTTTCAGCGTTTACTTAGTCGTTCAGAATTATCAGTGATTGGAATGAATGCATTTCCATGTACTTTGTCTCTAGTGATTCCGTAACTGCTCATTTGCTCTCCACGGTATCGGTACAAGACTGGATTTGTGAAAAGGCACTAAATCATTAAATAACTAAGGCTTTCTAAATCCTTTCAAATTTTTGCATGCTTTTGAGCACCGTAAGTGATCAGCACTAATGATCTCCTACAAAATTTGTCTGCTATCACGTTTTTAATATTTCGGGGTATAATTTTTACTTACGATGTACTTAGCTATTGCATTTAGTATTTGATGTGAATATGAAAAATGGGTTGAATTCCGTACGAGCCAGAAATCCTCCGGTGTGGAACGTAATCCCATTTCCGGCAAAGCAATCGGACCGGCATTCCGACAGTGCAGAATGTGAAAAGCGTCTGACAGAATTTATGCGGACGAACGGAATTTTGCGATTTAACACGAAAGTAAGATTTTTTGTTACCTCAGAAGCACCAGAAGGAAAATCGTAACGTTTATTTCTCTCGCTTGGGGCGGTGTCGTGTTTCTGCGACGATTGAATCTGACTGATAAGTTTATTTTTATCCTTCTAATAGTCTTTCATTTCCTCATTCTCTTCTTGTAAACTCTATTTTTCCAGATTTGCAGTGGTTGCTGTAATAAAATCGGCTGAAAACTTTTGGCGTGCTCGTTACCAATATAACTGCTTAGGTTAAATAATGTACACTTACTATAAGCGAAAAACGCTCGTTTTTGTTTTACGTTTCGCTCTCCGTTTGTATGTTTCTTTTCATCTGCGTTCTCTTTTGCTGTTAACATCAGCTTTATTCTACACTTGAGTATGTTTTTCTCTTACTGCGCTAGTGAAGTCGTGAACGTGACATTGAACAGTACACTTTGAAGGGTGAGTCCGCTATCGCTGGACCTGAGAGTCGTTATATTTAATTCCAAGAGAGAGTAAGCGGTCCGTAGGAAGACCTCCAAATCGATGACTGATTGAAGAATTTCATTGCTTCAAGATGGATAAGAATTGCAAAAAGCAGAAGTTTATGGCAAAGTCTTGGAAAGGTCTTCCGTCCACCCATGGACGGAATAAAGCTGATGATTATTCTTTGCAGTTTCCCCTCCATGCGTCCATTTGTCATTTCTTTTCTTCTCTTTTTACGCGTTATTTCTGCCTTGTGTTCTTTTGAGGCCCATTTTTATTTTTTCTCCCTCTTAAGTGCCGAGTTTTCTTGTTCACAACAGTTCGGTACAATTAACAGTTTATGTATGCATAAATAAATGTACATACATGAGGACTTGGTTATATGGTTGAAAACGCGTCAGAAGCAAAGGATTTGATTTGACAGTATTACTGTGTACAAATGTCATTCTCTTTTAAGAAGGATGAAAACTAGATAGACAAGGTTGGAAAATATTGTTAATACTCATTTCTTATTTTGCGACTGTCTAGATGGCATGATACTCTTTTCTCACCATTTCGTGGTAACATTCATTCACCTTGATTTTCTCTTTGTTTACCCACGAGTTGCTCGCTGGTGTTCAGAGGGTGGACGATGGGACGCAGCGATTTAGCTGTGCTTTCGTTAACTGTGAATGTGGGTGATGGCCCTTCTGTCTGAGTTTTTAGTCCTAGGTGTCCGCCTAAACGACTCTGTTTTAAATGCATAATAGGATCTGTCAATCCCTGAAGTAGGCGTCTCCTTAGTCGTGTTTTTGATAGCAAATTGATATCTTTTGTTTCCTTGAACCACCATGAAAAAATCATCTTGAACGGCAATGAATCAGACACCCTTCGAAATTTTTAAATCATTTTTTATCCATGTATTTTTGTCTTTTCGGTTTTAACTTTCGTTTCATCTTTACTCACCGTACTCGCAAATTTTGTTGCGTGCACTTTTTTGCCGTATTTTTTCACTTTCATTCCATTTCGTTTCTTCATGCCCGCGTTATCTTCATCTGTGCCTTTCTCTTCTTTCTTATCCATATTTTTCTACCCTCTGTTTTTCTTGATGTTTGTCTTTGTTTTTTCTTTTCCTGTTCTGTGGCATTTACTTACTTTTCTCAGCTCATTTTTCGGTCCCGTTTCTTCACATTCTCGACTATCTGTTTTTTCATATTTTTCGTTATTTCTTTGCAGAATCTTTTTGACTGGCCATATCTAGCTTCTAACAGGCGGTCACGGCTTCTTTATTCCCTGAAAGGAATGCTATCAGTGTTTCGGAGTGTTATGTTGCTATATTTGGGCCTTTGCGTTCCTGTCACGACGTTGAAGAAACTTTGGGCATGGAAAGGTGCATACCATATCACTGCAATGTTGTTGCTGTTAAAATGCTGCAGGCGGAAATGTCATTCTGCAGTGTAAATTTTTAACTTACGCTGTTTATCGATCATATGAGCTGTTTTTAATAGATGCTTCGAGGCGATGGCTCTCTTCCATAGCATTTTAGTTCCCTTCGAGTTCTCCTCCCCACATTTATACTACCTTTTTTATTGTCCATCCAGGTTCAGCTGTCATCGCAACCAGTTCGTACACCATTAACTCTAGCGTGTATCGTCTCTGTACGAGTACTGTTTAGCTCAAGAGGATAACAGTCCCAACGCCAGTTTTAATCCCGATAATTAACGAAAGATTTGACTTCATCTGAATGCATCTCAATCAAGCAATAAGTTTTATGATTTGTGCACATTCGTTGTATTGGTATAAGGTGTTGCAGTGTGCAAAGTAGTTAACAAAGAGAATGCCAAAAACCTGTCCAGTGAAAGGTATAGTTTTCTGAGCTTCTTTAGCTTCCCGCAGGCGAAGAAATATTCTGCAAACCTGTTCGAATTCAAGTAATTGTTGAGAACAGCCTCTGGTTTATCAGGTGAAACTGCTGTGCTTGGAACCTTGTTTTCTTCTGTCATTTAACTGTGAGTATGGAGTACATCCGGAAATTAAGAAATCAGGCAGTTTTGTAGAAGAAAGATCGATATTCATTCAAACCGTGTCCAATGACAGCACTGAAATATGATAATTTGCTGATTCTTGCGGAGGTAAACAGTCACTGAAGCTTAATAAGATAACTTGCAACGTTTCCTACCGAAGCATCATTGACATGGTGAGTCTTTTTTGAATGGAGCTTGGTAAGGGTTGCGACGAAACTGTTGGAAAAAATACAGAAAGAATCCAGATTTCTTTAAGGAGGACAGAGATTAAAATTCTTAAGTCATACAAAGAAGGTTTATTGATTTCTGGAGCAGCCAACAGAATTGCAAATGATTTCGTAAAGTGAAGACTAGTCATAAAATGAACAGAAAATTTACTACTGTAAACTGCCGGCGCTCAGGACTAATAGTTTTTGCAAAGTTTAACGTCTTCGACTTGTGTGTATTCGCCAGCGCCTATTTCTAGGAATATCAAGCGAAGCGAGAGGATCTGGAATTTTTACGAACCCTGGGCAGTGGAACGTGCGGCGTGGTTCAAGAAATGCGCTTTAAACCGACCGGTGACATAATGGCAGTGAAAGTATTATAATGCTTGTCGCAATTGTCTTCGTTGATAGTTACCATTTTTTCGTGTTTAGCAGATGCGCCGGTCATGCAATAAGGAAGAGAACAAGCGAGTTCTGATGGATCTGGAGGTAGTCATGCGTAGCCACGACTGCCCGTACATCGTGAAGTACTACGGTTGCTTCATCACCGATGTTAGGCGTGACGCTTTGCCCGAAATGTGCTCTGTCTCATGTTTTTGTTTTGCAGAGTGAAGTGTGGATATGCATGGAGCTGATGACGACATGTCTTGACAAGTTGATCAAAGCGATTCGAACCGGTATCCCTGAGCGAGTGCTAGGCAAAATGGCTGTATCGATCGTTAAAGCGCTCGACTATCTGAAAGAAAAGCTTGGCATTATTCACAGAGGTATTGGTTTATATATACATACAGTGAGTTTGAAGTAGCTTTTGTTTTAGACGTGAAACCATCAAACATGCTGCTAGACATGAAGGGCACGATCAAATTGTGTGATTTTGGAATTTCAGGTCGCCTCGTAGATTCAATAGTGAAGTCAGGAAATGCCGGCTGTACTGCGTACATGGCGGTAAGAAGCTTTCACGCATTGAAATTCCGGAAATTTGTAAAGTATCAAGTGGTTTCTTGCACGGCAAGCAGCGCCACGATTCGATTCGTCATATCAGATGCTTTCTCTAGACGACTACCTCTTATCTTCGTATGATCGCTTAATTCATTGATATGTTTGCTAGCAAGGTCTGAGGCATAGTGTAAATATGCGTACCACGGTTTGGTTTGTAGCGCATTGTCATTTCATTACGGCACTTAGCACAGTAACTTTCTGTGGTTTGGCTCCGTGCTGGCACTTGGGCAGGTGATGGACTGCATATGCTTTTCAATTTGACATATGTGACGCTTGTTTTCTAGACGTCACACTGTCGGCTGGATCCTGCAAATGTTATGCATTTGTCCCAGCTGTTTTCTGTTTAAACCAATGCACGTCACTTGTGCAGGGCACGGCTGTGCCTCAGTCATTGAGGTGCCACAAAAGTAGTCACTTACTAGAACTGTATTATGAAATAACTGCAAGTTGAAGGTTTAGATTAAAACAGAGAAATTG